GTACTCTCTAGCCACGAGAACACCCTCAATGGCTTGGAGGGCTTAAGCTTTTCGCTTTGGTTCAATCCCCAGGAGTTCTATTTATTTTTTCCCTATTCAGCTTGAACACATGTGATTGCAAGCATCCATGCATCTGTTTCTTTTATATAAGACTCAACTGCTCGCACTTAGGCTGCCTGATCCTAAAGCTGGAAAGAGCAATGTAGTTGCCCATTGTATCAGAATGAAAATGACATAGCAAATGATAACTTAAGTTTAAAAACTTGCTATTGATCGTCAGAGTGAACGTAGTCCTAAATAGGACTGTCGAAATTTGCCTAACAATACACGACTGTGATTTTTTGATGCGATGGGAGCGTGCCAATCAGCTTTTGAAAGCTTTTGACGTGGAATTTTGAGGGATTTGTCGGGGAATTTTCTGCTTACTTTTTTTTTCACACGCCAATCAAGTAAAGATAAGTCTCTTATCTTATTTCAGTGAATATATTAGAACTGTTGAAATAAATTACACACTTCTCTTCTCATTCTCCCTCAAGAAGAACCACAAAGGCTGGGCAATTTTGACTTAGGTCTTGTTTACATGGAGGGTAGCTTTTGGAGGGTAACCCTCGCGTTACCCTCCTTGCGTAAACTGGGGGTTGAGGGTCGGGGTAGTAATCCTTTGATCCGCTTACTTCCTGTTGATAATAGGACCTCGAAGAAGTTAAGTCTATTAAACAACCCGAGGGGCAAAAAAGTCAAACAAGCTCATATTAGTGTACCAGAGCAAGTTGGAGATATTTATGTCCTTAAATCTTTAATAATATCAAAAAATTGCCTGACAGAGTTAATTAAACAGAACTTATATTTCCAAGGGATCTTGCAGCAAAGAACGAACGCGTGACGAACCCCCAAGAACGTCTGCGTGAGAGGCTACCAGCCACCATGTTGAGAACGTTTTTTGAGAAGAAAGCTCAAGAACCAGGTGAATCTATATCTTCGGCTTTACAGATATCTTATGTCCTCAAACATCAAGAGATTTTATATCAAAAGGAAAAACATGTGTGCAAAATCCAAAGTAAAATATAACCCAGTTGATGATAGATGCCTTTGCCGCTTTCCTTTTTCCAAAACCATACAACAGGGGCACCCAACGACAATTTTCGGAAAAATATCTGTTCGGAAGACGATTTGAGATCTAGAATTTTTGAAACATTTGTTGTAAAATTTCTTGCTTGCCTGCCTCTCCTAAGATTTTCGGACATCTAAAAAAAGGTATAATTGCCTATTTTTAACGGATTTTTACCCTAAAAAGGTCACCTAGAATTTTCGTGAACCTTTTTTCTGGCTAAAATTTTCGAAAAGGTAAGTTTTGATCCCTATAATTTTCGGATCACTTGACTTTCAGCTAGGAAATCCGAACAGATGAAAAATTTCCAGGGGATAAAAATATGCCTATATCTACCGTTTAAATACTAAAATACGTTTAACAATTCTATGTTTAAGTGGTTTTGAACTATATTCTCGTTGGGTGCCCCTGATACATGCCAAGCCATACAAGCTCGGGTCCCACCATAATGAATAAAGGTTATTACAGTTGTAAAACAGGGAGCTCGTTTAAATATGAATCGGGTTTCGACAGTTATGGATAAGTAATGCGTAACAAATCAGATAATATTGATTCACTGACAAGTTGTACACGCGCCGGGATATGGAGTGGGTCACGTGCTAGACAGTAAACTAATTATGGGAAACAATACTTTTATTTTAAACAACATAAAAAAAATTACCAAGAATCATTTCATAATATGACGACTTCCTCGAGAGTCAGAAACGCGCTAATACGGCCTCGACATTAGTGATATCAGTCCGGTTACCAACGTGAACCATAGTCCCATTACATGACTTTTACCACGAACACGCTTCAAATCACTAAGCTTAAACTTTTCGCCTTTCAAAACACAGCTTTTTAGGGATTCTAGAAAATATGACTTTAAAGAATTTATTCAAAGGTAATTTACTACCTTACTTACGACAATAATAGATCTTTTGGTACGAATGAATGTGCAACCTTAATGACGTCAGATGCCGGGCCGTGTTATTATAGTCCCTGGCATGGCACGTTATTTTGCGACGTCTAAATTTGGTGACTATGACGCATTTTGATTTAGCGATTTCTAGGAAAATCACTAATTTACTTACAAAGTGTCGGCAAATTTTATTTCTTAAGGTACATTTCGACATTTTTTTTTCCAACAAACGACAGTGTACTTATGTACAAAAGATAAGGTTTTACAGTATACTGTATATACCTCGCAAATAGCTATATAAGCTATTAATAAATCTAGGGGGAACAAAACATTACAAAAAGGCGATATTACGTGCAACTCGTCATCCTTTGGCAGACTGATCTCGAAGCCTCTTCTCAGACTTTTAAAGATTTGAAGTTTTATTCGAACTATTTTTGTATGTGTGTTTGTTTGGTTGTTTTTTTTGGTCAGAAAGCACAGTAACTAATTATAAACGTTTGTTTTCTGCATCGAATCAAGGGCTAACTTGTTCAGGAAGAAACCCTCTTTCTCTTGAACTTCCAAGGGAAGAAAAAACATTCAATTCAACGGAGGCCAAAATATATGCGAGTTAAAATTAACTGAAAATTGACTCAAGGAAAAGTGAAATAAGTCGGAGTTATCCGGGAGTTCTGAACAAGTTTTACTGTACTTAAGCTCATATACATACCTTTATATCATCTGTGGCCATTTCTTATTAGGATAAGTGTTGAAAGCATATATGCTTCTCAGCGAGTATCCGATAACTGACTGGACCCATCTGATACGGAGACTATAAGTTTTGAAAGTCGCTTCCAGTCCAGTCTTCGGAAGCCGGATGAGCGGTTCAATTCCACGTAAAAAAGGAATGCTCGTGCTTTAAATCATGAAGTGGAGAGCATTTTCAGTTGTTCCCACCTTCGTTTTGCAATTTTGTACACTAAACTAGTGAGCAGCACTCTCCTACGCGACTCGCCTAACTAACGTAGACTTCTTCTTCTTACATTCAATTACTAAACGCCTGTATTCAAGCCGTAATATGACTAAAAATAGCTAAAAATAATGATGGTCTCAAACATTGAAGGTTTGGCCGGATTTACGAAAGGGAACAGGCGCAGCTGTTAAATTTTTTTGCAGGGCGTGATAACATTTTGGGGCCACGGTTTCAGCTAAAACGCGAAGGAGAACAAACAAGTTTTACATCGACTGTTCGCAGAGTGTAGACTGCTTGCAGTCCGCCTTTTCTCTTAAAATCCGTCTAGTTCTTGATCTCATCCAGCGCGATTGCAAACTACGATGTTGTTATATAGACGAGACGAGAAAAGACGGTCTCTTATTTTTTCTTCTCGGGCTTACGCCCTCGTTTCTCGCGGCAAGCGACTTCGCCGCTCGCGTGCTTAGGTTTTGCATGCAGTAACTCTGCAAAGAAAAATAAGAGACTGCTCGCAGTCTACGCAGAGTGCTGCTCACTAGACTAGTTTAATTAGTATAAAAAATTGTACTACGACAAAAAATGACCTCTACTTATTTGGCACTGTTCTTTCTAGCTAAGAGCCTGCTAACATAATATTGGTTTCAGCAATAAATACCTAAACTGCTATCCAACATATTTTCAATTTATCCATCCGGTGAAAAAAGTAAATTAATGAAGTTTTGCTTCCAAAAATAGATAAAATTAGAACTTTGTAGTAAAATTCAAAAAAAGGATTTCTGGGAAAATTAATAAAAAAAACAGACAGTCAATATAATCCGGCGGATAAGTGCCATTTGACAGGTCAATTGTGCACTTAATGATAAAAGCATGAAACTTGGCACACTAATACTATATTTTGGGGAACATTTTAAAGATTATAGGCAATGGATATTACCATCCCGGGGGGAAGGGGGGGAGGGGGGCAAGGGCATTTTTAAAATGGCCGCCAGCGGAAATCTTTAGTATGACAGAATGATGCAAAATTACTTACACGTAAGATGAAAAAATATATTTAATGCTGTACGTTTATTAAAAAGACCAAAGCCTTTAAAATTTTATCGGAATTGAAATATTTAATTGCTAAATATTCCCTGGGACAAGTTGAGCTGATCTAGTTTTTCTTTTCTCTAATGCGATTTACTATTTTTGAAGCTAATAAAAAAACTAGTAAAATTTGCAAAACGAATTTTGATCACCTTATTGCTATAGATTGTTTTGAAGCCCTTTTTCTATTCCGGTGATAACCCCCCTCGTATATAAACCCCTCCGTTTATAAGCCTTTCAAAAACCCCTTACGAAGATGTATAAGCCTAGGGTTTATAAGCTTAAGCGGCAGTTGACGGTTAGCATTTAAAACTAGGGAAATAGGGAATGGTAACGAGTAGTTTAAACACCTATTACACCTTCTTAGCTTATATTCGTCGTTTGTCGCTTATCTCATTTTTCTATTCTCATTTCTATATTTTAACATCACTGTTAGCCTGCGAACGCAGCCTAGCATACCGTATTTATTCGAATAAGCGCCCAACCTCGAATTAGCGCCCACCTCGGATAAGCGCCCATCCTAAAGGCAGAAAAAGTTAATAAGCGCCCACCCTCGAATAAGCGCCCACCCCCTACTCCTCCCAATCAAACTCAAATAAGCACTCACCCCACCCCACCCACTTGAGTGAATAAATTCTAATAAGAGACTTCCCCGAGGACGGAGTCTTCTTCAGAGTATTTACAGAAACCTTGTTTTGTTACTTCTTCGCGTTTTGTTATTAGCATTTATTGTTTTGTTACAAAATAAACATACTTCACTTGCTGAAAACGGTGAAAATTTAATAAGCGCCCACTCTCAAGGTCCAAAAATTTAATAAGCGCCCAGGGCGGTTAATCGAATAAATACGGTATTTCAGGTCGTCGCTTAGTCTCTCCCCGAAAAAGGCGTCTCAGTCTGCGCATGCAGGCTACCGCAGAGTTAGCTCTGTCGAAGAGAGTTAATTTCCCCAAAACCGTCAGTTTCCTTTCATTTTCTCTTGAAAGAGTGCTGCCAGTTCCTCGTCCATTGCTTTCTTTATGTCCTCTTGTGTAGGAAAGAAACCCGAACCCCATTCTTTTAGCTTCTTGGTAGCTTTCTCTCCAATTAACTTCAAATCACTGGTCTTAACCTTTAGCAATTGCGGTAATCCTTTTGATAATACCGCTTTGGCATCCTCTACGTCTTTTTGTGCTGATTTCAACTGCTCCTCTCTCAGCTTTTCCATCATTCGTGTGGTAGGTATCGCTAAAGAAGGCTCCAATCCTTTCCTGGCACTCTCGAAGAAGACATTCACCACTTCATAAAATGCCTCATCGAGACAAAGATCTTGAACCTCTTGCCTTACAAATGTGTTGAATTCTTTGTCTTCCAGTGCTTTGTGATCTTTGCTTTCACTACTGTCGAGAAACCACAACGCACAGAGATTTCGTGCAAGAATTGACTGGTAGGCATATAATGCCACATTTGTGTCATCAGTTATGTCAATGTCATCCCGCTCAGTGGAGGAAATTTGTTGTAAACGTGCAACAACATTTTTCAATCTGCCGACAAAAATTGAGCGTATAGCACTTGAAAGCTGCTTGCGATCTTCTTCCGCGAGGTTTTTGTCTTCCATTTTAGCGAAATGCTCTTCTAACTGCAAACCAACATTTTTAAGATAGGTTTGGGACTGAAAAGGTGGGATCTGGAGCTTTCTTAACATGTTGAATGTCTTTGACAAAATATTACATCTAACTTCAGCGACTTGAACAGCAGCTTCTTTCAGTCCAGATGGGTCTTCGAACGTCAAGATATTACTTTGTGGCATGAAGTAATGCGGCAAATGACGCGACTCCAAGCACTCTTGAAGGCGATCCAACATGAATAGCAGACAGTTTGCGGAGTTTTCCTCCCTCCAGAAAACTTCACCCCTCGTCTCACACTCCCAAAACAATAGGTTCTTCAAGTAGTACGTTGAAATCACTTCAGGAAAATAAAATTTCTTTATTATCTTTAGCAAAACCATTACATGACGTTGCACGGGTGACACATTTTTCCCGAGTTTATTTTCGCCCAAGGAAAATGACGTACGCCATTCGGTTTCATCCATCACCCACTTGTCGCTGCAGTCTTCTGTCACACTGGGTAATAAAGAGTTGGCCAGTGTGGCCTCCGGGTTTCGACAGTAATTGAATACATCAACGGGCTCTTTAAGTCGATTTCCCCTACCAACGGGAGCTAAATGGCAACCGGATTCGAATATTTCCTGGACCAGTTCAGATGAAGGCCAGCCACTTGGGCGCGGTCGGACCAACCATTCCATCGCTGGCTCGGGCCAAGCATCCGGGTACTTGAAAACAGCAGCGTTATCCGCCTCGTCATTTACAAACCCACCACTTTGAAGTTTACGTACAGGCCCGTGGAGACTGTAGGACCACTTGCAGCTTTCTCCGTAAAATAACTTTGCACCCTTTACCATGGCATGATCAGCTGAAGGCAACAGAAATGCATGGTGGAGGTAAGAAACATTTCTATAGCGAGGGCAATGATCTTTCCATTCACGTGTTAGCCTTAGCTTCACGTACCTCGGATCGTCTTTTGCATGTTCCGTAGTGAAGATAGGTATGATCTTGTTATCATCGTTCTCTACAAAGGGGTCATTTTCTGTCATCCTATCAAAATCTGGCTGCCAGTGCTCCTTAAAACCAAGTTTAATGTTTTGATCAAGATTACTTTTCATGAGAAAAGCCTTAGGTATGCAAAATCCTTCGACTCGACTTCCGGCATCTTTATCGCGTTCACTTGGACTTGTCACAGATTCTGGATCTGCACGCTTTGCTTTGCTGGCTGTTTGCCAATAAATCCAATCTGCATACACGTACTCCACTGGAAACATGCAGTTAATGAGTACTGAAAAGGGCTGAAGCCATATATTTGATTTCTCATCAAAGCCAAGCGAAAGCTCCTAGTAAGAGGGGTGACGAATGGCCTTTCAAAAATGTTGAGTCTCGGCAAATTTAAGCCGAGTCTCGTAATCTCGGCGCTTAAAAAAAGCGTCTCGGAATCTCGGATTTCCCAGAAATATGACGGTCTCGGAGTCTCGGATTTTGAAAATTTGGATCTCGGAGTCTCGGATTTTGAAAATTTGGATCTCGAAATCTCGCCAATGGGACGTTCAATTTTTTATCCGCAAGCTTATCCGAAACGAGAAATTACATGTAAGAAATTTACCCCTGCCGGGGTTTGTTTGGGGTCCATGCAGATATACGCGTGTGAAAGCCGCAAGATGCTGAATAAGTTTAAATAGCTAAGAATCACACGAGAGCCGGCGAGAAAGTTACGGAATTCTAACACTAGCTAACACTCATTGACCTACTTTAGCTTTCTTTAGGATGTCACATGTAGCTACATGTCAACACACCGCAAGGAGTTTTTCACTCAGTAGGTGCTCAGCGAAACCGTAAAATATATTTTTTTAGTCCTTTCCACAACAAAAGCTAACAAATAGAACAGTCTATCCGTCTGTCCATTGTCCTTCTATCCCAATCTTTTCACAGTGTAAGACTGGTATAAGGTTGTGAAGTTATTCACCGAAAGCCTGCTTGCATGGTAAAATAACGCTCCAGGAACTGAGCTACTGTGGCTTGTTGCCAGATATAGTCCGAAGTACAACACTACAACATGAACTAAAGCTGACTAAGAGTCTACTAAGCTTAACTAACATAGCTTAACATGGCTGACACAAATAGCAAGCTCTGCGATACACGAATCGAACAAAACGCATCGTTCGACGACGTTGTTAAAAGCTACAAATAGAAGCTAATAGTCCGATCGACGAGCTGCGACGGTAATAGTAGCTAATAGTAGCAAATAGTAATGCACTTTAAGCTCTAAGCAAGACGATCTTATAACTTACCGTATTTGCGTTTAATTCCTTTCGTTGCTTCAAAACCCTCTTCTATTTCCTCTTCACTCTCTGCCATTTGCAGTAGTAGCTATAGTCGAAAGCCGATCGTTCGCAGATTTACGCGTGCCAGAAGCCGACAGATCAAGAGATCAGAAGCTATCAGAAGGCGTGTGAATTTTAAACCAGGCAGAATGTCGAATCATTAGTTTAACTAGTTTATAAAGTAACTAACCAGGTTAATAAGTAGACTATAAGCAGTAATGCGTTACTTAACACGTTTAATTTTATTCTGGTAGACTAGATAAGTTAATGGTTTTAATACAAAACCAATGTTTTGGGATGAGTGGAAAAATATTTGTTGTGATGCCCACAAAAGCTCAGAGCGCTGTATCTCGTATTTTCGGATCAAGTGCATCTCGGGCTCGGATTTTTGGATCACTGCGTCTCGGGCTCGGATTTTTTTAGCGCTAAGTTTCGGGCTCGGATTTTACAAACAAATTCAAGGCTCGGGCTCGGATTTTTAAACTAGGGTCTCGGCGTCTCGGCAAGGCTCGGATTTTACCATTCGTCACCCCTAGTAAGGGAAAGAGAACCACTTTTAGGTTATTAATCTATTCGTTCCCCCTACATGCCTCGAAACAAAATCGCTTGAACGGGAAGTGGGTTGTTTTTACACGGCAAATTCGAAAGAGAAAGTCACTGCATGAGCTAACATTCAGCAAATATTGAATGAGACTGATTATGATGTGAAGAATGCTGCAGATTGAGAAGGAAGCTGGTAAATATCCAGATCCCCATTTTTTCTTGTAAATACTTTTTAGAAAGTCGATGAGCTACCTCTTTTAAATATGGCTGGTTATGAAGAATTAGCAGGGGGATTGAAGCAAATCAGAAAGGGCGATACATTTTGAATGATAACCGAGATCGAGTGAACCAATCAGAATGCTAGAAATGCATTAGAAGGCCGGCAGGGGTACGCCCTATGACGGGCTATACGGGGAGGCTCCGCCTGTAAGGGGTACCTTTTCCAGGCTTCAGGTATATGAAAGGGTTGGGATTTCGCTAGTCGAAGTATAGTTTGGGTCTGTGAAAGGGCCCCCCAAAACAGGGCTAACAGATGAATTTTACAGCTTTATAAAGTCGACAAAACGGTCTATTTTTGTGATTGATTCCTATTTAAATGACAGAGCATTTATAGCAGTTAAAAGGGATGCAAAGTTCAAAACAAGGTGTGAGAAAGATGTTCTATTTGTCAATAGAAGGTATACGAAAGGGGTACCTTTTTCGTGAAAAAATGGCGTATAACATGGCAAGGGGTTGGACCTCGGGGCAGATACATTTGTTGAGTATCCCTCCCCCGAAGTCAAATTGCAGTGATAGATGGAAATAGAAAGGTAAAGCACTGAGTCAACAGAGCTTGTTGTGCGCATGCGTTGACATCAGTGGAAAGGTCCTGGGTCACTTCCTGTGCGACCCATTCTCGTCCCAGGAGCCCTTCATTTCTTGGTCAACCCAGATCTCATGATGTGACAATGAGCCAGTTGTTACTGAAATTTGCCTGTGTAACACTGATCTCTAAAAACTTGGTTGCATGATCAATGATTGACAATTTTGTGACGCAAAATTAGCTAAAAGAACAATTATGCTAGCAGTGCTTTTTTTTCGCAAAATAGTGGAAAATTATGCTCCTAATGATGAATTATGCCAAAAATTATGCTAGCTCCTTGGAAAAAAACTACCAAATAAACAAACAAATTAACTAGTGGGAACAGTGTTTTTAAGTTTTGAGATGTTCGTCAACAAAAGTGAAAGCTCCAGCGAACCCGAGGACACTGCCCTGGGATTTTCTGTTGGTTGAAAGCATTAAATAATTTACATCAGGCATAATTAACAGACAAATTACGTTATTTTGCGATAACTGAGCTCAATATTGACCGAGACCAAATGAATTTCTTCTCAATTCAATAATTTATCCTTTTGACTTTAAACTGTGAATAAAGTTAACTGCTCCAGAACGAAATGTATCCATCAATTAAACTCAGTGAAGAATTGTAAGAATACTCTTACAGCCCACAAGGACTTGAAATCCGGAAAAAAAAGCAAACGCAAGAAGGAAAAAAGCGTGGTTTTATTTATGCATGAGCAGAATATTATTTGCACGGGGAACATATATCACTGTGACGTCACAGTAATATGTGTTGCCCCTGATATACGTGTTCCCCCCTTACACATATCCCTAGTGGAATGTGCCTTACATATATCCCTAGTGGAATGAGTTTTCATTCCTAGTGATATGTGTTCCTCTACCCCGGATACACATATCACTAGTGATAGTGTTCTCCTAAGGGGGAAACACATTTCACTAGTGATATGTGTTCCCCTACCCGGGAATACATATCCCTAGTGGAATGTGTTTTTCCTACCCGGATCAATTCGTAGAGATATGAGAATCCCGAATCCCAGGTTCCAAAGAGGCCAAATCCCAAATTCCGAAAAACCTATTTGGGACCCTCAAACATCGTCTCCAACATTTTAATTAATTAATATTAGCCCTACTCACATTGTAATTGAACTATGTAACGAGTTGAAACACCGAGGTCTCACAAAACCTCGCAGTAGTAATAAATCTTTATATAGAAGCATATAAACCTCAAGCTACAGTTCTCATAACATGTTCTAGGCGTTCAACAAGTGGCGGCGTGTGGCGCGAAATAGCGAGCTGTTTTACAGTCCTGCTTATACAATATCGTGAAAAGGCAGCCCAGTAATAATTAAAATAAACACGGAAGGAAGCCGCGAATCGAAATCTAGTTAAATCTGTCAGTAAATTATGGCCTACGTACCCATTTGCCGGTACTCGTGTTAGTTAAGAAAACTGCAACAAGAGCAGAGCTCTTTTTCGCACTTTCTTAACGATCCTTCGAAACTATTGAACGAGTGTGCGAAACTTTTGCCTATGTTAGCCTGCGGGCAAGCTCTCCGGGGCGCTGGCTAGATTAGCTTAACACTGGTACAAGAGATCATACAGCCAAAGCTCTTGTGAGTCTCGTAAATCGTAAACGACTATCAGTGTATTTGTGAAAGTGCTCACAACTACAGCTGGTCGTGATGAGCTCTTGTAAGCGACCATGTGATATCAAACTAATATGAGAGTGGTCGCTTACGACAGATTTCAATAAAAAGCTTTGTATATCAATGTGTTTAAACCAGCGGCTTCTTAACAAGAGTATTGAATAGTTTTACGTCATCTTGCTACGATACAATCGCTTACAAGTTCTTTTCCTTGATTTTTGAGATTATCACTGAGGGAAAGACCAGCTAGTGCTTCACTAATCACTAAAGTGGTCGAGGTCGCAGTAGATACAGAGTTTAAGTCGCAATTCAATTATGTCCAAACGGTTTTCACAGTGCTAAACGTAAATAAAGTCGGTAGCTTACGAGAATAGGCGCAAGGAAAGCTTCTACTGTATTTCAAAACTACCAGAGTATTCATTCGGACTTATGATTTACGTAAACTTACATATGTAAACTGTGATCGAGTTCATTCTGAACGGGTAGCCTCCCTTACAGAGGAATTAAAGCCCTAAGAATGTCCGCAAGGAAGGGTAAGGTGCAGAAGTATCTAATCTATAGAGAATATGTTGCAACATCCGAAAATCAAGGTATAAAATACACAGGAGCCATACTTACCATTTCAGCCATCTCGCAAGCTGTCACTTCCGCATAGTTCCCGTGAACATTTTCGTCCCCAAAGCCCCTCGGCTCAACGGAAAGTAGATCGACCTTAGGGAGATTTTGTGAGCCCGCAAGAACGGAGCTTTAAGATAAAGTTACAATTAATACTGATAATTATAAGTAAAATTACATGGAGGCCCCCTCTGGTCAAAATCATGACAATAAAATTGCACCACAAGTCAATTTTAATCTCACTGCATCAAATATTATGGACATGTTGTGTATTTTTGTCATCAATAAAATACCTTTTTCAGAGTGTTAGTAATTATTTTTTAGCAACATGAGTTATTTGTTTTAATTATACGAATACTTTTTTCATTCACACCATGAATTATTTTTCAGTGGTCTTTCGAATATATTATTTTTCTAGTGTGTATTGAGAATTGTTTTCTCCCTGGGCCGAGAATTATTTTCGCGGTAACGCGGTATTGTAGACCAAAAAATAAATTTGCGATACCGCGAAAAATAATTCTCGGGCCCAATTAAAAAATAATTCTTGATCCACCTTAGAAAAATAATTCGAAGTACTACTGAAAAATAATTCATGGCATGAACGAAAAAAGTATTCCTATAATGAAAACAAAAATAACTCTTGTTGCTAAAAATAATTACTAACACTGAAAAAAGTATTGTTTAGAGATCACAAAAATACACAACGTGTCCATAATAATTGCTGCAGTTGGATTAAAATTGACTTGCGGTGCAATTGTATAGTCATGATTTTGACCAGAACGGGCTTTCATATAATTACATTGATGATTATTGAAAATAGAGCGCTATGATTGGCTAGGAGCTTCAATATAACAATGAAGGCTAGCAGTTTTTTAAAACAATATAACATTGAAGGTTAGCAGTTTTCAAAATAGCAGCAAGATTTGTTGATGTTTCGGAGTCGGAAATTGATCAATAATTTTATTTTCTCGAATAATCATCAATGTAATTATACTAAAACAATTAGTCGCCTCAGGCGACGTTAATATCGACATATAGAGATAATAATAATAATAATAATAATAACAAAAAGAACAATAACAATGATAACAATGATCAATGAAGTCATTAGTGTCATCGATATGATTTGATAACAAATTATTACGTAAATCATTACATAATCAGATAAATTTTAACAAATGTAAATGTAGAGAAAACTTTTGTGAATTTATCAGTTTAATTATTAATTCTGTGCAAGAAAGCTGATTAAAATTGACAAAATGTTTCCCTTGGGATTGAATACTTTGGACAGTGCAAGAGAAATTATTATATAAACACCAGTGAAATACAGGGTGAGCTTTCGCGCGAAAACATGATATCTTCACAAGTGAAAATATCACGGTTGCTATGGCTACATGGTAAATCGCACCTTTCGTCAATGACGTGTTTCAGGAAGGTAAATATTCCCTGGGATAAGCTAAGCCAACATTTATAAGGCATTAGCAATTATTTGATGGTACTCTTTTTACCTTGTATCTCTTTAACTCTAGGCTACTGAAATACTGTAGACAGCCGCTTATAAGCGCCCCCCTCCCCTCCCCACACTAATGAAAGCCCCCGGGGATAGGCCCATCTACCTGTAAACAAACAAAAAAACTCGGATTATGAGACTCTCCCCCCTTGCCCTCCCAGTATATAAACCCCCAATCAAGCTTTTCTTTCTCGAATTCAATTTATTATGACGGTTTAAGAGAGAATAAAGCTTTATCCTCTCTAGGGCGTTTTGAAGCTTAATTAAAAACCTGTAAATGTTTGTTTCGAAGCGCTTTTTCTATTCCAGTTATAAGTAAGCCCCCCCCCTCCCCCCCGTTAATAACTCGTTTATAATCCCTCCTAAAACCCCTTACGAAGATGTATAAGTCCAGGTGTTATAAGCTCAAGCGGCAGTTGACGGTATGCATGGTTAAAATCATTTAAAACTGGGGAAACAGGGCATGGTTACGAGCAGTTTAAACACCTATTAACTGGAAGAATTCTATGTCGTCGTTAGTCGTTTATCTAATTTTTCGATAACTATTTCTACATTTTAACAGCACTCTTAGCCTAAGCCTTCGTGGCATGGCGGTTTTGGTTGGGCGTGCGTTTTTGCGGCTTCGCCGCTCAGTAGTACTCCCGACAAAACCGCCATGCTACGCACGCTTAGCCTGCGAAAACATCCGTTTCTCCTCGCTCTTCGCCGCCGGGGACGTTTCGCGGGGAGGAACGTCTGCGACTCAGCGGTAGAAATTCCATACTGATGACGCAAACCAATGTTTACATGATAAATCCAGTAGTCATGAGGGTTCCAAATACAAATTTGTCCAACTTTACGTGTCGTCTGGGCGATTTTGGCAAAGAGGTGTGTTCATCTGCCAACGAGCTCCAGCAAAACTCAAATGCTTCTTCTTGAGAAGACTATATTCCACAAACATTGACTATTTTGTTAAAGATTCTTCGCGTCTACCTTTGACCCCTGTGGCCTTTTGTCTTTTGTCTGTCGTTCGTAAACAATAGCTAAAACAATGTAACTACTCCGTCGACCAATCAGCGCTTCTGACCGGATTCCGTACAGGTTTTACGTCATCAGTATGGAATTTTTGTCGCGGAGTCGCAGACGTTCCTCCGCGCGAAACGTCCCCAGCGGCGAACAGCGAGGAGAAACGGATGTTTTCGCAGGCTAACGCACGCTATGTTAGCCTGCGAACGCAGCCTAGCATATTTCAATCGTCGCTTCTCTCCACCCGAAAAAGGCGTCTGATCTGCGCATGAAGGCTACAGCAGAGCTAGCTCTGTCGAAGAGAGTTTATTTGCCCGACATCGTCAGTTTCCTTTCATTTTCTCTTGAAAGAGCGCTGCAAGTTCCTCGTCCATTGCATTCTTTATGTCCTCCTGTGTAGGAAAGAAACCCTCTCCCCTTTCTTTTAGCTTCTTGGTAGCTTTCTCTGCAATTAACTTCAAATCACTGGTCTTTAGCCATTGCGACACTCCTTTTAATAATTCCGCTTTGGCTTCCTCTACTTTTTTTTGTGCTGATTTCAACTCTTCCTCTCTCAGCTTCTCCATCATTCGTGTGGTAGGTATCGCTAACGAAGGTTCCAATCCTTTCTTGGTACTCTCGAAGAAGACATTCACCACTGCATAAAATGCCTCATCCAGGCAAAGATCTTGAACCTCCTGCCTTAAAAATGTGTTGAATTCTTCGTCTTCCAGTGCTTTGTGATCTTTGCTTTCTCTACTGTCGAGAAACCACAACGCACAGAGATTTCGTGCAAGAACTGACTGGTAAGCGTATAATGACACATTTATCAGCGTTTCAATGTTATCCCGCTCCATAGAGGGAATCCGTTGTAAACTTGTTACAACATCTTTGCACTTGCCGACAAAGATTGAGCGTATAGCACTTGAAAGCTGCTTCCGACCTTCTTCTGAAAGGTTTTTGTCTACCATTTGAGCGAAATGCTGTTCTAACTGCAAACCAACATTTTTAAGATAGGTTTGGGACTGAAAAGTGAGAAACTGGAGCTTTCTTAACATGTTGAATGTCTTTGACAAAATATTACATCTAACTTCAGCGACTTGAACAGCAGCTTCTTTCAGTCCAGATGGGTCTTCGAACGTCAAGATATTACTTTGTGGCATGAAGTAATGCGGCAAATGACGCGACTCCAAGCAGTCTTGAAGGCGATCCAACATGAACAGCAGACAGTTTGCGGAGTTTTCCTCCCTCCAGAAAACTTCACCCCTCTTCTCACACTCCCAAAACAATAGGTTCTTCAAGTAGTACGTTGAAATCACTTCAGGAAAATAAAATTTCTTTATTATCTTTAGCAAAACCATTACATGACGTTGCACGGGTGACACATTTTTCCCGAGTTTATTTTCGCCCAAGGAAAATGACGTACGCCATTCGGTTTCATCCATCACCCACTTGTCGCTGCTGTCGTCCGTCGCACTGGGTAATAAAGAGTTGGCCAGTGTGGCCTCCGGGTTTCGACAGTAATTGAATACATCAACGGGCTCCTCAAGTCGTTTTCCCCTACCAACGGGAGCTAAATGGCAACCGGATTCGAATATTTCCTGGACCAGTTCAGATGAAGGCCAGCCACTTGGGCGCGGTCGGATCAACCATTCCATCGCTGGCTCGGGCCAAGCATCCGGGTACTTGAAAAATGCGGCGTCATCCTCCTCGAAGTTTACAAACCCACCACCTTGAAGTTTACGTACAGGCCCGTGGAGACTGTACGACCACTTGCCACTTTCTCCGTCAAATGTCTTTTCACTCTTAATACCAGTCATGATATGATCAGCTGAAGGCAACAGAAATGCATGGTGGAGGTAAGAAACATTTCTATAGCGAGGGCAATGATCTTTCCATTCACGTGTTAGCCTTAGCTTCACGTACCTCGGATCGTCTTTTGCATGTTCCGTAGTGAAGATAGGTATGATCTTGTTATCATCGTCCTCTACAAAGGGGTCATTTTCTGTCATCCCATTAAAGTCTGGCTGCCAGTGCTCCATAAAACCAAGTTTAATGTTTTGATCAATATTACTTTTCATGAAAAGAACCCGAGGTACGCAAAATCCTTCAACTTGACTTCCAGTATCTTTAACGCGTTCACTTGGACTTGTCAGAGATTCTGGATCTGCACGCTTTGCTTTGCTGGCTGTTTGCCAATAAATCCAATCTGCATACACGTACTCCACTGGAAACATGCGGTTAATGAGTACTGAAAAGGGCTGAAGCCATATATTTGATTTCTCATCAAAGCCAAGCGAAAGCTCCTTGTAAGGGAAAGAGAAACACTTATAGGTTATAAATCTGTTCGTCTCCCTACATGCCTCTAAATAAAATTGGGGATAAAATGTTTGAAACGTTATCTGTACATTACCTTATAATCACTTATTTTCGCGAATTTGGAATAGAAATATTTCGCCGCACTTAAATTCATTCGCGATTTTGTCACACTACCGTTTTTGAAGGTAATTAAAATTCGCGAATCAAGTACAATGGTACTCCTTTTTTAAACTTCCATTTCTGGACTATGATTTTATTTAACCATAATGGAATAGAAACGCAACAAGCAACTGGTTGAAATTAAATGCTCAACAATGTCAGCAACACAACATCTTTTAAAAGTACAACGATATAAGCAACGGAGGCACAATTTAACTCGATGGCGCTGCCAATTAGCTTTTAGATAAGGATCTCCTGAATATTTTCAAATGGATTTTCAGGCTATAAGGTTGTCTTTCCTTGACCAAGTTCGGATACTCCCGCTTTGCTCTATCCTCTTGCAATGTGCCGCTTTCCCATAGTGCCTGTCAAGTGGTTGAAAAGGCATACCAGCCTGGCCCCAGTTCAGTGTTTAAAAGATGGATGGCGCTATCCACTGGATAAATCACTATCCAGTGGATAATGCAATAAGTTTTCGAAATACTTATTCATCGGATAGCGATTTATCCGGTGGATAGCGCTATCCAACTTTTGAACAACTGGGGCCAGGTGGCTTGTAAGACCTTGTTATTGCTTCCGCACAGATAGCCTTAAATCGACCTCAATCTCATCAGTGCTGTTTCCCGACTGCATCTGTTTCTGAACTACGGCCGAATACCAAGATGTAAACATATCTGCACTTTATGAAGGATATTTTCTCCTGTGTTGCAGGACCTAATTCAGCAAGATGACTCAGACGATGAGGAATAAGGGGATGCGTTGAACTGAAATTTCAACCCTCCTATTCATATTGTGGGGATGTGTTCGAGCAACTCGCTCGCTACACAGTCTACACGATGAGGAACCAGGAATCTGATTTACATCTTGGCCTTTATTCCTAGTGACTTCTGCTAACAATCTTAATCTTCCTACTCTTCTAACTCTTTCCTACTTTTCTACTCTTCGCTACTTACTTCTCCTCCCTTAGGTCAAGTATAGTAGCAGATTTTATAGCCAAAGCTGGAGTTGTTTGGGTTACCTGACCGGAAGAGTTTCTATTGTATATCTTATCGCTAAGATTGTAACAGGTTTGCTATTGTTAGGGAATAGATTAGCCCACGCACCGCCGCAACTGACAAGTACCAAAGAACGAAGGTCAGCTCTAACACCACAAACACGACCACCTGTTAAAAACTAACATCTGACAATGCCAAGCGAATAACATTCCTAATGTGGCAATGAGTAAATTCGCGAGTTAAGCATAAATTCAAGTACAAGTAAAAACAAAAGATCAAAACAGGAAAACAGCACGTGAAGAAAAAGAAGACTTACTGAAACAAAAGCTTGACTTAAAAGATAAGATAGATTCGTCTTACAAATAACTTTTAAAATACTTCACAGCAATATGTATACTCCTAGCAGACGGAAAACTTAATTAAGTCTCGCAAAAATAAGCGATAAGGTAATTCGCTTGAACGGGAAGTGGGCTGTTTTTACTCGGCCTTACCGAAGTGAACAATTCTCTAAGAAACTATCTAAGTTTCTACTTTCATGTGGTATTCCAGCACCTAAAAACCTTTATACAAAGAAATTTTTGGTTCGAAAGGGTTCTTCGTTTTGCGATAGAGGACGCTTGAATTTCCAGGCTTTTGCCGCTGTGACGCGGCATTTAGCTGCCACGACCAGGAAAGCTCTTATGTGGGTTAAAAACATAACCGATTTTGGGAGATTTTGCTATCTAAACATTTCTTGTATTTAGTCTCGCTTGCGTAAGCAGCGAGACTCATAATCTGCAAGCCGTTTTTCTTCGTATTTAGGAATCATGCTCCCAGGCGTTCCTAGCGGAGACCGTGGAAACTGGGAATAAGAAACGTTGCGAGAACGAAGCCACGGCGAAGAAAGCTTAGGAAAGATTAAATTTAGAGCTTTTCCGGAACGGGTCGGTCCACGGATTCTATCGCTTGACCCCGTTGATTACTAATTGAACAAGTGTATGGTTGCCGAAATGTGTCAATATTCGATGTCGAATACGTGCGTGTGATAATTTCCCTAAATTGGCAATAAAACTCAAATATATTTGATTTTGTTCAGTACATTCGATAAACTTGTAGCAAAATTCGATTACTCGCCTTGATTTGCATTCGATTTTCTCCTACATTTATGAGACAATTCAATCACTGTATTCATTCGATGATTCGAGCAAAACTCATTCGATAATTCAGGCAAAATTCAGTCGATGATTCGAGAAAGACATGATTCATTCGATGATTCAAGCAAAATTCATTCGATGATGCACGTGACCTACCTTCCATATTAGGATAGAAGGCTTGGCTACTGAGCATCGACCATGTGCCTGATCACAAAGTGGCAATCACAGAACAGTCGCAAGACTGTTACAGTCAAACCAAGTCGAGCGCTCCCGTCGCTAACAAACTAATGAATTCATTAATGGAAAAATGATTTCGTTTGTTGATTCTATAATCCACTCATAAAATGAATAATCCAACAGTCAAATTGTACCTCGATTCAATAATTTAATGTTGATTTGGTTTATGAACAAAATCTACCTGTTCTTTATTCTTGTCTGTTTTGTTCAATCGTATTTGCTTCTCTTTTCCTGCCGTTTACGATTGCGTTTTTCATTGCCTTTAATCAAAATAACAGCTAGAATAGACAGACCGCAAACACAAAGAAACTGACAAAGGCCGAGGATCGAAATCCACCAATCACCACACACACACTGACCTAAGTTTGACCGTCGTGTTTTCTAAGAGGTCAGGCCTAGATCTGTTGCACTGATTACTGGCAGCAAACTGGCGTACATGTAACGGTTTGTTTGGGTTTGAACTTCAGAACTCGCCCGCACTCGACTCTCAGAAAAAAAAAGAGGAAAAAACAATATTCTGACGTCAACTTGTGGAAAGTGTAGTTTTTCAAAAAACTGTAATCGAATCAACATTCGATTATGGAATCGAGGCTAAATATGAATATTGGATTGTTCAGTTTATGAATGGATTATTGAATCAACAAACGAAATCATTTTTCCGTGAATGAATTCATTAGTTCGTTAGCGACGGGAACGCTTGACCTATTTTGACTGTAAGTTTGTTCAAAAGTTATTACCAAGGGAGGAACTACGTGCTCCAGTCCAACGACTCACATCATCCATAGAAAAACAAGGAGTTTAAAAATCATAGCTTTTAGAGCCATCATGACTGATTCACATCTCAATTCTCCATAGCTGATGTAGCTTCAGTTAAGCTGCATTCCATTCTTCGAGATTTGGACCTGTAAATCACATTCCGTGAAAATTTAACATCCTGCTAAAAACGCTAACGAGCTGGGCGCAGCGTGACAAAACATTGCAGGAAACCATCACATTCACGGATCAAAAGAAAATCGCTTATTGGAATATTCAGATCCAGAAAGCACTTTGGAGAAAATTAAACAACCTAAAACCCTTTTTTAGCCGCAATGAAGGGCTTTACATTTCAAAAAAAGTCAAATGCTCTTGCATCAGAGGGCGAATCATGCCGACCAGAAACAATAACCGCAGAAAATCAAAATGCGTGTCATGACCTCTGAATATGAAATAAGCGGGAAACTGATCACAGTTGCTCGATCAAAACTTTTTCCTCCAGCGCATTATCTACCCCCAGAGAAAAAATTCAATGGAACAAGCAGTATTCTGGCACGAGGTAAAAGTCGTGTGTAGCCTACCGATCCCCCTTTTTACACTATTTTGTATACTCAGTAGCCAAGCCTTCTTTCCTAATATGGAAGATAGACCACGTGTATCATCGAATGAATTTTGTTGGAATCATCGAATGAATATTGCTCGAATCATCAAATGAATATTGCTCGAATTATGGAATGAATATTACTTGAATTGTCTTTCACTTCAGTGGTCGAAAAGAAAAAGGGGCAAAACTTCGATCGTGATCGTGACTTTCATTGTATGCAAATGAGTCTTGTGATGAGAACGCGGTTTATTTTTGGCGATGATTGAAATGACACGCCATGTTCTCATCACGTTTTTCATCTCCGGCAACGATATAATTTCTCTTGAATCGAGGCCCTTGAATTTGCGACCGCAGACGTATTTTCGGTCGTCGCTAACACGCGTACTAAATCAATTCAGAAACAAACGTCGAATACGATGTAAAAAGTAAATATCCTGAAGAATACTCGACCGTCGATAAATTAAAGTAGGAAGTGAAAAACCCTCAGCGAGTAAATCCTCTTTCGTGTAGAATTAATCACCTCCTCATTTCTTATCTAGTCTCCAGGCAAGCGAGACTAAAGCCCCGTGCAAACGGACGCAACATTGTTGGCCAACAACTTCCAACATTGTTGGATGTTACATGTTGCGTCCGTTTGCACACCCTGTTGCATGTTGTTGGATGTCGTTGCGCAAAGTTTGAAACCAGTCAAACTTTTCAGCCAACAACTCCTAACATTTTTTTGTTCCGTGATCGCCGAAACGTGACGCAACAATGTTGCATCAGTTTGCACAGCTCTTCCAACATTGTTGAGGCCGCGCACGCCCATTACGCATGGTTTACAAAGAAGAAGAAGAACCTTTATTAATTTATATCGCTCAGGGTAGCCCCTTCAGACCCAAAAAGCTGTCTGTTATAAATGGGAGCCCTGAGCAACAACGCACAAAAACCACACTAAACATATAAACATTACACTAATACAGGTAATAATGTAAATAGAAACCTATTTTCAATTAAAAGATTAAAAGATGTAAAACACGAAATATCATTAAGATAAT